TGGAGTCTATTAGATAGATATGATACAAACCACTGCAGCACAGTACCTGTAATACCTACAGCATGTTCTAATCGCTCTAATAGGACATTATGGTCATAAAGCACTGGACCACTCCTGCTGCTGGTGGGTGCACAGGAAGCTGTGTTGGACTCAACTGTGATATACTTAATACTTAAAATGAGCTCCACAGAGAAAATCAAGGCTAACATTAACATGCTGGGGTGTTTGCTGTGTGCAGGTTTCTTACTTTGGACCATAACACATGCAGAGGCTTGCCAGGTACCCGTTACTGAAGGCAAAGAGGATCATGAAGAGGATAAAGAAGCAGTCGTGATGGAAAACGACTGGCAGGTGGGCACGAGGGTGAACGTTGCACAGCATGAAGAGAGGGATGAAGACCAGGCGACACCCAATGGATGCAGGAAGTATCACACTGTCTTTTCCTGGCTGGAAAAAAAAGAAGACTATCAGCTCACATGTCTTTCAGTTTAATTGGAATAGAGCACCATCTACAACAAAGTGCTTTATGATAAACTGAATACTCTCATTAAAGACTGGTACCCATAATGACATTATTTGAATATAGACTGAAGTAAAGTAAAAAGGGAAGAGTTGAAAATAGTAATACATGACTTTGAGTTTCAACGGGTTAACAAAGGACCAACTATGTAAATAAGGGCAGAGACTGTTATGAAATCAGGGAAACATGTTCTCAAGCACAACATGACAGGTGTTTGTTTATTACACTGAGAAATAATGTGGTAACTGATGTTATTAACAAAGCAAAGGAAACACTAAAGAAATGCGGCATCATTTAAAGATCTTAATCATGAATTCCAATGTAACTGATCACCACATGGAGTTATATATGTGAGCAAATCTGATTAAAGAGCCAAGTATAGTGGAAACATTTAATAGCTGTTTTACTGATTCTGTTAAAGCTTTGACTTTTAACTGTTTAGGCTCAAACTATTCTGTTACTCCTCTAAATTATTATGCTCCTTTTCCAGCTTTTAGAGAAGTGACTAATCCCTGAGTTCATTGGATAGTTTCTGCTTTTAAGGAATCTCTGAACAGATGACATCATATTTGAATGTCACTCCCCTTCTCAATGCATCTTATGCAATTTGGGTTTTGAAAATATCACAAATATTTTCTTTTAAAATAAAAGTCAAATGTTTAGTAAATTTCAAACAATAACTGTTGACCAAAGTGTTGTACATTTAAGATATTCAAAAGAGATAAAAACATTGGAAGACATGACAAAATTTAAGAAAAGAAACATAACATGAGAAGATCTGAGTAAGATTTGATCTTCTTGGCTCTCGCAGGAGTCGGATGCATCTTCCAGCCTCTCCCTCCCTTAGCTTCCCTTCTATGCTTCTATGTCCTTGTCTCGTCTTGTCTGACTTTAACTCTGAGAGAGCCTCTCATTCTTGCTCTTGTTCTCTAAATGAATCTTTCCCATATTTCATTCAGGGAATGAAATATGGGAAAGATCTTGGAGGAGCTCATGGCTCTTAAAAGAGAGATACACCTGGAGACCAGTGATGGACATTAGAATGACTGAAAAATTGATGCAGTTTGTTCTCCCGAGACCACATACTAACATCTCTCATGCAGCTATACCCCACCCCGACGGCACCAACTGCTTGAAGGTTGACGCCAAGAGGAACAACAACGAGAACGAACAGACTCTCTGCCCTATTCCTCAAGGTCACCTGCGTAGGCTGCGGACTGTTGATCTTTGCCTAACAGGCGAAAGGACACTTTCTCAGGCTGAACTCAGGACACACATCCCGACATGCACACATGCACACTGATACTGATACGCCCTCACCACCCTCCCTCCCCCCGATCCAACGCCTCCTCCCATGCTTACTTCCCACCTGATGGAGACAGTGGCTCAGCCGGAGGCGGGATGAGGTTGCAGCGTCCATGACCCAC